ATAAACACAAAGTATGCGAGGGGGGAAAGGGGAAAAAGGAGGACTTCTCAAGCTATATAGCAGGTGATGAAGTTATAAATCGAGAAATAAACTGAACGCAGCGTTTACCTTATCATTTAGTGTCTTCCCAGGAGGCCTAATCTTGTATGCACTCGCCTCGAACCCACATACAGGAGCATTATCCAATTTGCGTGTACCATTATTAAACATAGCCCTCTCATCAAAGTACTTTCTATCAATCTACTGTAGGGGAATTTGCTTAGATAGAACGTTGCCGGTTGCTCGGAAGTCGTGGTTCCGCTTGATCTCGAATATGAAGCTATTTATTACGTTACCCATTGCATAAATCAAAACTCCGATATCAGGGTCAGTGTGTGAGCGGACCCAGTATGCCCAATGATCCTTAAAAGGCGAGCCATTATAAATCAAGAGTTCAACCAAGAAGGCCCCTGCTGGATGTATCGAGGCCACCACAGGAGGCTTGGGGGCTGCCGCATTGGGGGCATTCTGACCAAAAGATGGTGGTAGTGGGGGCGGCAGCGGCGCCGGCGGGTTGGGTGTTCTCCTGGGGGAGGGCATAATAACGCCAAAATTCTTCGAAGAAACAAATACTTGTAGAACGGGCAAGATTGCGTATGCCAGCAGAATGAAGCCAGTTAGAGAATTATCAGCTGCTGGTAGTAATCTTTTGTAGCAGAGTAGACGGCTCTATATATACACGCTCTCTTCTTCTTGGGCCTTTGCGGCCGTATGTTAACGACGGCATGAAATGGGGTAATTGACAGTTCACAAATTTCCTTGATACCTCTTGGGCGGCAAAATATGCAACGGGACCCTGCAGCGTTCCATGACTGGAGGGGACTTTGGAGAATGCGGTGGCGGTAAGTGGAGCAGCGCTTAATGATACCGATTGTTAGGGGGGCAAACCAGCTCATTCAGAGGAGCAAGCCACGCGTAACAGTGATTAGACCGGCTATATTTAGGCCAACGCAGCTCCCCTCAAATCTAATACACGCGCGCGTACGATGCAGTCATCTTCTCTGACCTTTCCACATCACGCTGTACGATTGATTCCGAGGTCTGTCGCCCCGAAGCCACCCCTTTACCGCAAACCTCTCGATCTCCACCAGATGAAGATCTTCCCCGACTCCAGCTTTTTCCAAGAGTAACGCGCGACTTCGCTCCCCTCACCGGACGAGATCCGAGCAATAGGCAGGGCGTCAGGCAGCGCCAGAGCTGCAAGTTTTGATCGCCCAACGCCTGTCGCGATCCCATCCCTAGGGTTGCTCGTCAAGTACGGAGGTGACGTGACTATTACCGAGGCGCAAACTCAAAGAGCAGTGCGCGATCTCCTGCAAGGCCAAGTCCCTATACCCGAGGTCTTTGGTTGGACTAAGGATGCGGATCAGATATTTATATACATGTCTCTGATGGATGGAGAGACATTGCAAGACAGATGGAGTGCCATGAGTGAAGTCGAGAGACAAGCCGTTTGCCAGGAGTTGAAGCATATGGCAAAGGCGTGGAGGGCTCTAAAGCAAGACAAATACGACCGTTACGTGGGTAAGTGTAATCCACAATCACATCATATGTCCTCAGCTGATCCGGATTATCTTTCTCAGGTAGTTTAGACATTCAGCCGCTGAATGACGTTCTCTTGGCTGAACGACCCGGCCTTGTCGGGCCGTTTCGGTCTACAGACGCTGTTCAGCAGTTTCACGAGGCTTGCGGTATTGGAATCGACGGCAAAGAGCCCATTATGTTTACACATAATGATCTCGTACCGCCCAATATCCTCTTGTCACAAGGGCCGAACCCAAGAGTACAAGCCATCATCGATTGGGGACAGGCCGGCTGGTACCCTGCATACTGGGAGTATTGCAAGGCACGATGGGTCAGACTCAGGCCTGAAGACTTCAGTGATGCTATGCAAGAAGAATGGCATACACAGTACCTGCCATCAATCCTGGATCCAGTCGACAACGAGGCATACTACTACCCATGGCTTTATTTTGTCTTGTCCAAGGGCATATAATCGTGGACCCATTAAATACTATTTAGATCCAGGCAGCAAACACCCGCGAATCTTAGAGCACTGAAATTACCATAGCTTGGCCCTTAACTTCAAAGCAGGGTCATCTATCGACTGCAGACGAGTTGGTCAACTCTGGTGCATGATGTCGAACTGTTCGGATGCGATGCCCCCAAGCCGGTCAAACGCCCATACCCTCATGAGAGATTCGCGTTCACGGGTAGATCACCACTCAATTTCAAATCCAGAACACGGAGGCTGTACTCGCAATTTGGAAGGTCGCGACGTGTAGGACAAACGAAGTGCGTGAGCAGTCTCTTAGCGAGAGCGAGTTTGGCTTAGAGCTTGTATGCACGCTCTCTAGATCCCACATGAGGTCAAGGTGTCGCCGCGTGGGACTTGGCACCCATGGACAGCATCCAATCTCACTCAATCCCGTGAACCCCGAACATGTCGGCATCTGAGCCCGCAACGCCATGCGGTGCGAATAAGACGGCGCCAGGCATGGCTGCTGCTCCGTACCGGGAGGGGGTGAGCCTGGTGGAGTGCCTGACGAACCGGTGATGTTTTCATTGTCTCGTACAAGCAACCCATCCCCCTACACACCCGCGTCACCCACGCCACCCGAATGGTTTCGCGTATTCCGGGTCGCAAAGATGCATCACGAAGGCAAACCCTCTCGTCTCGACAGCCCTGATAAACTTCCTTCTGTCATCGTCCGTATCGGGGAAGTCATCAGGGAAGTCATCAGGTAAATCGTCGGGGAAAGGGGGGATGGGGGCGCTCATGTCCACTGCACACATTCCATTGCGTCCCTGTGTTTTATCGTCTTCGTCGTCTCGGCGGCTAAGCCTGGGGACCCGTACGTGATTCAGCACGAATAATGCGGCTGTAGGGGGACCAGTAGTCCAAGCCACAGTTGTTGACAAACTCAGCAAGGATCAGGTGGAACAGCTCAAGGTCCCTGCGGTCGTGGAGAATGGTGCTGCCCCAGCTGAAGATGCCCTCGCCAGTGCGGTTGTAGCCAGAAGCACGCCGGGCCTGACAAAGGTCCTTGTATTACGTGAGACCTGGAGTGCCTGGGTGGCCAGTATAGGTCCAGTCAACACCTCTTTTATCTGAAGGATGGCCCGCTATACGATTTATGGCAAGAGGTGACACGCTCTGGTGCCACTCTATGAGGACTTACGCTGTCAAGAGCCTCTCCACATCTCCGCACGAGTCCCCACGGGGCCTTTCGTACAGCCAGTACTAGTGACCCCAAAGCCCCTACACATACTTCACTGCCGGCATGTACCTGCGGAATTTTCCGTCTTCAACTAGCTAAGATGCCGCGGCAAAGAGTCTCTGCGTGCAAATACTACCGAACTCTCTCGAGTCTCTAGAGTAGAGACTACCAAAGCTAATGATTGACCATGATCATCATCACTGTCGCCGAAGGGAGTGGACCCACTACTCCGAAAATAGTGGGTCATATCGCCGAAAGAACTGGGGCCGCATGCCCAAACAGAGTCAGCTTCGCCTCTGTCGATGCAGGTTGTAGTATAGCGAAAAAGCCAAAATGCTTCATAGATTTTGAGTTTCGCAGTTAAGAGGAGATAGTGATTGTCTAGAAGGCTAGAGGTCCTGCGTAGGCCCTTGAAGATGGACGTATAAATGTTGCTGTCATCCCAGCCTTGATTAACAGCCGGCAATATGATATCAGCAACACCATCTTAGCCCTCTATTCATACAAACAAATCGGCCTCCACTACTACAATGGGCTTCCACGGGCGTTATACTACCGAGAAGGTGACCTACCCATCTCACGGGGAGACCATCGTCGGCATCCTCTTCAAGCCCAAGAGCGTCACCAACCCGCCCGGTGTTGTCGTTCTCGGCCCCTATTCATTTGTCAAGGAGCAAGCTCCATTGCAGTATGCCTCGCGGCTCGCTGATGAAGGTTATGCCGCCTTGATCTTTGACCCTCGCACTGTCGGAGAAAGCACCGGTCAGCCGCGGCGTCTGGAAAATCCCAAGATGAAGAATGAAGACGTCGTCTCCGGCCTCGACTACCTCGCCGGTAGAGGCGATGTTGATGCCAAGAGATTGTTCCTCGTTGGTGTCTGCCAAGGCGGTCCTGAGTGCTTGGATGTTGCGTCGTATGATGACCGTGTCGTCGCCGTCGCCTCCGTCACGGGGTACTATCGCGATCACGAGACAGACGTCTGGATGATCTGCACTGGCTGCGTCAATCTTGAGCCCGGCGTCGATGTAGGAGCTCTGAAGATGCCCACACCCGAGCAGGGGGAAGCCCTCTACCAAGCGCGTATGCAGCGAGCCAGGGATGCCAAAGCCCTGTACGAAAAGACGGGCGAGGTCACCTACCAGCCTCTTGTTGACCCCAAAGTGGCTGATCCGGATGTTGGCTCACTCGCTGGCCTTCCAGGACCTGTTGCGTGGTCGTGGTACGGCGCATGGACTCTCAAGGGCTTCGAGAACCGGTATGCGGTAATGAGTGATCTGGATCACTTTGACTACACAACTGTGCCTGGGGTGGCTAGACTCAACAAACCGGCGCTGGTGATTCACGGAGACAATTGTATGAATGCACCTGCGGCAAAGAGACATTTCGAGTCGATTCCGACCAAGAACAAGAAGTTGATCTGGGACAATGATGTATCGCACTTTCAGCACTACGAGCAGCCAGATTGTGTGGATCGCAATGTTGGCGAGATTGCGGCCTGGTTTGAAGGTGTGAAGGTGTGAAATGAAGGCAAATAAATTGCTAGCTAGAAAATACTACTACTACTGAACTAGTCGAATTTGCTGGTTGATGATATTGAATCCCCCGCAATGCATCTCCAAACCAAACCTTTCGCTACCCAATGGCCACCCCGACCCTCCAACTCTTACAGTGGTAAATTTGATAGTGACCACACGCTGTGAGCTAGAGTGTTGATGTTCTGCAAGAGGCTGTACTTTCAGCTATTGATGATGGCCGTGGTGATTGTGTCAGATCTCGTGATCCCGTAATTGGGGTCTGACGGTCTGAGTTGGGGGTCTTTGGCACAGCGAAATGTACGATCAATGATGCTAATTTAGGCTGATTGAAAATGATAATATTTACGATCTTAATAACGTCGTTATAACTGATAGATTGACTGTGTTGTTGATCATCTTGACCGGCGAGGAATTTCCCTCATCTACGGTCTCCAAGACCTTAGCCATCCGGCCGGACCGGATCCCTCCGTCTGCCAACATGTTGTGTCACGTGGATCGACCGAAGAGAGTTAGGGTTAACGGTAACGGAATGGCACTGATGAACCTCCTCCTGACAACATTTAGCATTGAGACCATCAAACGCCTCATTCAGAGGTCAATTCATCATGCAACCTCCGGACTCTTCCGAACCAGATGGCGTCGATCAGCAGCAGCAAAAGCGAAGGCGACCGATGATATCCTGTAATGAGTGCCATCGACGCAAACAGAAAGTACGTCAGTGTGCGGGGCATTTTGTACAGCTACCCAAAGACTAACAAATCATATTCTAGTGCGATCGCTTACGACCATGTTCAAACTGCTCCAAAAGAGACAAAGTGGTTGGTGTTGCTGTGTATTGACGCTTAAATCTCCATTAGCTGACCCTTTCTGACTTGAAAGCACCTCTGTATATACGCACCTACGGTTGAACATACATTGGCGGACATGGTGGTAGCTCACGAGTCTGCAAGTGGCAGCGTCTCTGTCCGAAATATAGTGGACCGTCAATCCACAGCATTCATTTCAGAATCCGGAACGCCATCAAGCCTCACCGGCGGAGGCGTGTCTACCCGCCTAGGCTACTCGTCTAGCACTGCTACCGGGACAATGAGTCTCATAAAGATGACTGGTACTCCAGAACATGCTCTGAGCGACCAGCCGGATCATCCACAAGACGGAGCCATCTCTAGATACCAGAGCCTCCTTCGTCGGCTACCTACCAAAAGACACACTGACATATTAATCAAGTCTTTCTTCACTGACATTGCTTGGTATTACGACATTATTGACGAGGCTTCCTTCACTGAAAGGCTCTCATGGTGGACCCAGCTCCCATACGCCGTCGTCAGTAATGGCCCTTGGAGCCTTCCGCAGGAGCTCCGCGCCTTTCCTGCGCTGCTATTTCAGATCCTAGCGCATTCTGTTCTGTTCGTTCCTGTAACGAAAAGCCACGACCTGTGCGACTTGAAACACGCACCAGATATGACGTTCGCGGACCTGGCCACTGAGTACAGCGAATCAGGAGAGGCTATTGCCTCATTTCTGTGCAGCAAGGATATAGACTTGGTGAAGCTACAAGCTGGGCTTCTCAGAACGTCCATCTTGAAGAGCCTGGGTTCGGTTGTGGACGCATGGCATATACTGGGGCGAACGATCCGAGAGGCCCAGGAAATCGGACTACACCTAGAGGAACCTATTCCCGAAAGGCAGCCGGATCATATTCCCAATTCAGGAAGTCGTTCTCAAGATTCCGAGCTGGGTATGAGAACTTGGCTACTTCTACACCTATGGGACGCCCATATGGGAGTAGTACTCGGCAGACCCATGTCTACCAAGGTTAATCCCGAAAGCATCATTTACTTCTTGGATGGCCAGGAAATATTGCCCCAGACCCAGGGAAGAGACTGTGTCCCTGACCCTTTCTCGTTCGTTCTGCTCGGCTACCGCGTCGCCTATAGATATCTGCAAGACATTCATGGTCTAGAGAGATCGCCTCTTTCCAACGTTGAGCAGCTGTCGGCTGTTCACAGCATTCACTCTTCTATTACCAGAGCCGTGGCCAACCTTCCGATATGGGCTCGACAAGAGCCTGATATCAGCCAAGCCAGATTCTCGATCCCCTGGCTTCCTGCGGCCCGCGAAACCCTTGTCACCGAAGTCAATTTCGCTCTCCTCACGCTGCACAGACCCTTCATCTTCTCAGCACCTGATAGCAGGTGCGAGGCACTCAGGGCAGCCCTCAAGGTCTTGGACTCGCAGAGCCGCCTGTTCGCTATGAACGAGCCCCGAGAATATCTCCCCTTCAATCTAGTATTCGCCACTTTTGACGCCATGGTCCTCACTGCAACCATCTACATCTTCTTCCCGCACGAAAACAGAGATTGGCTTGAATCTGCAGTCCAATGTGTTACGTGGGGTCTGGCAAGATTGGACGCGATGGGGACGATGAACAAGCTGGCCAAAGTAGCGCATCATGTGCTGCGAGAGCTCACCGTAAAGATGAATGTACGAACTTCGTCAGAGATGCCGAGCGACATCCTGGGTCACATGAGTTCTGGGGCGGCCGTGCCGGAAGATGTACTCGCTCTACATCCACCGCAACCCTTGCACGACCTCATTTCTCTAGATGGGGCCGAACTGTTTGGAGACGTGAATATGGAATCATTAATGGAAGTACCACCGCAGTTTATGTTCGGTGATGACTTTTGGAATATGATGGATTCTGTGTCTGAATAATACTTATTGGCTGTAGAGTAACTTTCTACCCGTCGTCTCGCCTTGCCTACTTCACAAATATAGGCGCCGACGATTGACAAGTCGATGCTAAGAATACTCGAGGCAGCTGTGACGTGAAGCAGAATTGTCAATCGACGGTCACTACATTCCCATCCACGGTTCCCTCATCGACAAGCCGCCATGTAACCCTGATAGTCTAACCCTGACAGTTCTCCGTCACGGCGGCTCGATTTGAGCCTTTGGTGCCGGCTCTGTTTGGGCGATTCGATCGATCCTTTCCCACTCTGTTATCAGGCAAACACCTGTGGTGCATCTGCAGCAATGCCTCCGTAGCCGACGTCTTTCCTGGGTCCAGGAAGCAGATCCTTGTTTTACTGTAAGCGATCAGAGCCAGTCCGTTCGACTAATGAGCAAGACCAACCGCAGATGCATATCAGTCCTACAGATGCTGTAACCGCTAGATACATACGTTGTCCCCGCATTGTGCCGGAGCGACAACATTTTTGAGATAAGGATAACCCGTTTTGAGAACCATGTGCAGCGGCCCAGGATTGGACAGGAGGCACAAACGCAAGGGGCAGCCTGGCCGTACCAATAGTGATAAAGCGGACATATACGTACGCGTCACGGTTGCGTATTTCTCTCACCTCCCTTAACTTCTCGCTCTTGAATTGCATGGCTCAATCTCTTTTCCATTTCTAAAACCCCTCAAGTTATGGAATCACTCACTTGTTGAGGCCGACCTAGCCCTTCTATCGCCTCAATTTTAGCTTCTATTGCCTTTCTTATTTCCCTCCCTTAGGTTCTAGCATTATGCCGGCATGTTGACTCGGGGTTGGATAGTGTCTTGGTCGTTGGTGTCGCGTTGCTCGGGTTCAGGGGAAATATAGTTCGGGTCATGTCTCAAGTTGTATCTGAAGCGATAGAGAAGAAAAAAACCGCCAAGCGCGGATAGGGGAAGAAGGACTGATTTCCATGGCACCCGAAACATGCGAGTGAGATTAGGCGACATTGTTAAGCCGGCGCGTTTACCGTCTCGCGCCTCATGAATGATGAAGTCTTGCGGGATCAGCCGTCAAGGTTTTTTTGCTCAGGCCTGGTGAGGTCCTTTTTCGGCTATTCTTCGGAGTCACCTCAGTGGACTTGGTGCAAGCGGGGCGACTAGCGCCGGAGCAGTATGGCATTCCTCACTTTCCTTGAAGCAGTTATTATCCTCGCCTCAAAGTCTACATCAACAAACTTCTTCACAAATATTTGCGCTATCGCGGACACGACCTCATGACCTTATCGCGATGCAGCCCGCAGCGGCTCTACATCGTCGTCAATCATCCCTCGAAGGGATAATCGATTTCTCCACACGGCCTCCCTTGACCTCGGCTCAGCGCCTCTCAGCCAGTCGCCGATTCAATCAGTTGGTCAACCACTTCGACGTTCCCGATGGCAGCAGCAAGGGATACGACCGAGTGAAACTTGTCCGGCTCACCCACGAGTATGCGCGCTCTGAGGAATCTAAGGGCAACTTCCTGCGTGCATTCTTTGAGTCCGCGGATCTTCCAATTGATGGGGATGAGGATATCGACTTGGGTGATGCAGACCGACAGGCCAAGCTCCGCGATTCCTTGTTCAACTTTGCGGAGTATTTGTTCGAAAACTTCTTCTTGCCATGTAGGCTCTCACCATCTTCATCTGATGATCACTAACCATCGCTCTCATAGTGAAGGCGTCTACCAGGAAGACTCCCCAACCGTCCCCTGCATCCCACTCGGCAGTCCAAAGAGCGCAAGGAGGAGAAGGGCAAAACTTTCTTGGAACCCAAGAACGCGTATCAGCTCTTCGGGGCGCCTGTCTGTTCCGTGATCGCCATCGTTGCGTTATATCACGCTGGTTTGACGAGACCGAGGCGCTCAGGCGCATGGACGATGCCCGTAGACATGGTGGTGTGGCTCGAGACGACGATGGAACCCCTCTTGCGGAGGAGGAGCCCTTCGACTCTCTCGAGGTGGCACATATCCTGCCACACTCACTCACTCAGGTCAATGCAAGCAAGCAATTGGTATGAGCTCTCATTTCACAAAGCGTCCTCGGTACTAATGACCATTCTTCTAGGACCCTTCTAAGGAAGCGGCACTGGCGATTCTCAATATGTTCGACAGCGGGGTCGCATTCCTGGTTGAAGGAACTGAAATCGATCGACCTCGTAATGCGATGACCCTTACTCATAGGCTGCATCGCTGGTTCGGCGAATTCCAAATTTTTTTCGAGCCCGTTGACCAACAACCGCACACCTACCGCATCGATACCTTCCTCCCGCCGCGGATTTTAAAGGACCTACTCCCCGTCACTCGAACGCTCTATCTTACAGAATCGCGAACTATAGATCCTCCTTCGCCTCGGTTACTCGCGATCCATAGCGCCATTGCTCATATTCTCCACCTCTCTGCTGCGGGGGAATATATCGACAGATTACTGCGGGACCTAGAAGAACATGGTGTTCGGGAGGATGGTTCTACTGAGCTAGAACGTTTCGTGAAGCTCCGACTGAATGGGTGGTCAGTTAGCGAAGTCAATGGTTAGCGTAGACTGGGAGATTCAGAAATGGTCAGATTTTGGTGCATCTGTTTTGATCTTAGCTATCTTCAACGACTTGATTTTGATACCCCTCAACATGCCTACTGTACACTGACTATGTCAATTCTAGTATAGTTGAGTTTTCTAACCTGAATGTTACGTCAGCGTCTTCTTGACGCCGTTGGAAATTTCCATATAAATGAAAAAGACGCTAATGAAGTCAGGGGAAGAGCCCATAACCCTAACTCTGACCCTGCAAGAGGACTGGTTGAGCCATGAGGCGGTAGCAACTTTGAATATCTTAGCTCAGCACGTCCTGTGCCCCAATAGTGGACTTTACCTTCCATACGGCCGCCCGGATGGAAAATATACATACATGAAGAAAAAGCTTGCTAAAGGAATAAAATAGTCTAATTTAATTTAACTGAATGAGTTGACACTTCCCCATCAATCTATTTCATTTTATATTGTGCATCCTCGTGGCGTATTTTTTGTCCACTTTATGGTATTGTTTTGCCCTTTGTTAACACGTCCCAACCCGAAACCCGAAACCCAACATTGATAACATTGATCTCGGATATGTCGAGCCGCATTTTGGTCGACGTAAATGAGGCCGGAGTCCTTCTTCAGCTGTCTAGGAACTTTTGGGGCGGACCAAAGAGGTGGACTACCCGGAAGAACATTGGTGGGTGCAGGTCTCTCGATCCAGTTGTACCTGACGTCAGTAATTGACGCCACAGGAGGAGTATGACGTCTTTGAGATCCAGGCGAGAGATCTCGGCTATGGTGTTGGATGCCATCGTTTAAACACGTACCATGAAGCGAATGGAGAGGAGCGAAAAGTAATTATAGCCTGGCTTTAATCGTGAGGGGGATGAGAGTCCAGGACCCGGAGAGATGGCAACGGAAATTCGTCATCTTACCCGTTGGCATTTGTCACGAGCCCTGATTCTGTGAGGCGTCTTATTGGATGTGTGTATATTGTAACGGTTGTGTCTTCTAGTCTGCTGTAGATGTGGTCTAGGGTAGGCAGAAGGCTGGTTGCTGGTGGATAAACTGTAGGTTTATATTAGCAGAGTAGTTAGGGTATTACTTATAGAGTAAATATTATATCTGGTAATAGTTAAGTATAGTAATATATAGTAAGTTAAGGTAATTAAGGTAATTAAATTATATTAATAGTTAAGTAGCTATTTATAGTAAATATATATTATTTAGTTATTTATATATTTAATATAATTAAATATAATTATTTATATAGTAATTATAATTATTAATAATTAAAGATAATTATAAAGTAATTATTAATAGTTAAATTATATTTTATTTTAAAAAATTAAAAAAAGTAAAGTTATATTTAAAATTTAATATAAATTATAACTAAGCTATAATAATTTATTAAAATTAAATTAAATTAAAAAAATTAAATAAAAGTTTTTTTTTAAAAGAAATTAACTTTAAATTTAAAATTAAACTTTAAAAATTATAATATATATAAGAAATATATAGTAAATTTAAATATTAGTTTTTTTATTAATAATAAAATATTTAATAATATAACTATAATAAAAAAAACTATAATAATTAATTAATAAAAAAAATAAAAAAAATAAAAAAAATAAAAAAATAAAGCTTATTAAAATAAAAAATAAAAATAAAAAATAATTAAAAAAATAAAATAATAAATATAAATAAAATATAAATAAAAAATATTATAAAATAAAAATATATTAATAAAATTAAAGCTAATATTTAATAATATAATTAATTTTAATTTTAATATTTTCTAACTTTTTTAAGCTATTAATATAAAATATATATTTATTTCCTATTATAATTAGTTATTTTATCTTTTTATTTATATTATATAAGATATAACATATTATAAAAAAACAATAGTATAACAGGTTTAGTCAGGCGCTGAGGCATGAGTTTTCAGGGTAAAACTTTTAATTAAAAGAGTTAGGTAATTTTAAGGCCCGGAAAAAGATGGCGGCATAAAACCTTTCGTTACTTCGTTCGTTCCTCTCTTTGTTCCTCAAGGCAAAGCTCCAGTCGATATACTCGCCCAATACCTGAGCGAAGATTACATCCCCCTCTCTTATCCCTTTTTCCTACGGCGTGGTGGTTCTAAGCCCAAATACCTTAACTTTAGCCTTGTCATTCATTCAATCCTAGTACCCAAATTTGCGCTAATAGCTTTCCCCGATGTGAAGCTGGAGCCTTCTGCAAACTTCGCATCAACTCCATAGCTCCGCGGACATACTAGACGGAGCAACAAGTTCGCACGATCGACCTAGTAATCATGGATGGACTAAGTGTCGCCGGTAGCGTCATTGCGGTCATCGACTTGTCAGCGAAAGTCGCCTCGCTCTGCTTCCAGTACTCTAAAGATACCAACAGCGCTAAAGATGATATCGATCGCTTGTTGCAAGAAATCACCAATCTAAAAACTATCTTAACGAATATCTAGCAGCTTCTCGGGAGGGCTAATAGCACGAAACTCAAGACTTCCCGCGAACTTGTCACCGCGTTTAAGGACAGTATGCTGAAACTCCAAAGTATAGAAGAGGAACTCCGTCCCGGAACAACCTGCAAGGTGATGAGCTGCGTCGGTGTTCACGCTTTGAAGTGGCCATTCAAGAGCAAAGGCGTGGAAAGCGCTGTCCATGATGTCACGCGTTGCGCCCAGGCTATATCATCAGCGTTGTAGGTTGACTAGACGTATGCTGTAATTCATCTAGCAGTTATGAGGCTATAGGCTAATATAATCACTACTAGTGTTGTGATTTTTAACATAGATTAAAGAACGATACTTAATTAACTTGCTGTTGCCGATGGCGCCGCCTTTAACTCTCACGCCGAAGAGTATAACCTAACCTGTCTACCGAACACCAGAGTCGAGCTCCTTGATGACATATCGAAATGGGTTGACGATCCTAGTGCAAAAACTATATTCTGGCTTAATAGCATAGCAGGAGCTGGAAAATCTACCATATCCCGCTCCATTGCTCGCTCATTATCCATTGTAGGTCACCTTGGCGCTAGTGTCTTCTTCAAGAGAGGAGAGACGGATCGAAGGGGACTATCTAAATTCTTGACGACGATAGCCTCCCAACTTGCCATGAGAGAACCGAGCTTAGCGCTTTTGATCAAGGACGCGATTGAAGCCGACCCCAACCTTCTCGGGACAGCAGTACGGGAACAGTTCAAGAAGCTCATCATCGAGCCTCTATTAAAGATACAACCGGGCTCCGCAGGGAATGACCCGCTTGTTATTATCGTCGATGCCTTAGATGAATGGAAAGAGGATGACGATATCAGACTTGTTATCAACTTGTTCTCGAGCGCGCAGGTTTCGCAGTCTTTAAGACTGAAAATCTTCGTCACTAGCAGGCCAGAGCTGCCGATCCGTCTAGGTTTTAGCATCGCCAAGGACACATATCAAGACTTGATTCTCCATGAGATATCGCCGCTAGTAATCGAGCACGACATATGCGTATTTCTGGAACATGAACTCGGAACGATCCGAGACGATTACAATGCTTCTGTACCTGAGGAACGGAGCCTACCACCATTTTAGCCAGGCCGGTCAAATATCCAGGCTCTTTAGAGGATGGCGGTTCCTCTTTTCATCTTTACTGCAACCGCTTGCCGCTTCATCTCCGATCGTAGATGCGGAAGCCCCGACGAGTAGCTGAGAGATGTCCTACTCTATCAAACAAGAAGCCAGGAGTCGCAACTCGATGCAAAATATCTACCAATCTTAAACAAGTTCACGACAGGGTTGCCCTCTAGGAAGCGAGATTACCTCCTTCAACAGTTCCGGGACATCGTCGGCTCTATCGCTATTCTAGCTAATCCCCTTTAGACATCTACGCTCGGGCAGCTCCTCAATGCCCCTGTCCATATAATCGATAATCAGCTAGACTCACTTCATTCCGTCTTAAGCATTCCGTCTTCGCCAATGGCACCTGTGAGACTACTGCATCTGTCGTTCCGCGATTTCCTCGTCGACCCCGAGAAGCGCGACAAGAACCCATTTTGGATCGACGAAAGACAAGCTCACATAGAGGTAGCAGCCAACTGTCTGCGGATCATGGGCTGTCTCAAACGGGACGTATGTAGTGTTAAAGCCCCTGGTACACCTCAATCCTCTGTCGAGTCCCAGAAGATATACGCTTGTCTTCCAGCAGCAGTTCAGTATGCCTACCTTTATTGGGTATACCATATGCAGCAAGCGAGGGTTCACCTTGCCGATGGCGGACAAGCCCACGAGTTCCTTGCAAGCTATTTCCTCTATTGGATGGAAGCATTGAGCTATATTAGCAGAACTTCAGAAAGCATTAGTCTCATTAAGACGTTACAATCACTCCTTCAGGTATATTATATGAGAATAGTGGTGTATAGACTGATTGACTCTCATCCTAGCCTAAGAATAGCAAGCAGACCTCGGATTTCCTTAATGACGCTATACGCTTTATCCTTACCAACATGTCAGCCATCAACTCCACGCCACTACAGATTTATTCCTCTCTGCTTGCCTTTGCACCTAAAAGGAGCAAAGTGCGGACTAGTTTCAACGCCGAGATTGCATCATGGATAACCCTCAAGCCGAAGGTAGACAGCGACTGGGGCCAATGTCTGCAGGCGCTGGAGGGCCATAGCAGCTTCGATACCTCTGTGGCCTTCTCGCATGACTCTGCACTGATCGCCTCGGCCTCAGATGACGACACAGTCCGGATCTGGCGGGCCGACACGGGCGAATGCCTGCAAAAAACTAACATTTGCGTTGCTTCCTATCGCCTATTATTTGAGCCTGGTAATGCGCATCTGCTGACTGACGCTGTCGTTATTGCCATACGTACACCTACCTGTCGCTCTGGCTTCGGGGTTGGCCAAGATCGTGGCTAGGTTATATGGAACGAGGAGAATGTATTATGGCTGCCAAAGGAGTTTAGGCCCGAATGCTCTGCTATATCGGGATCTACCGTTGTGCTAGGCTGTATTTCAGGGAGGGTAATAGTCATCAGCTTTTCATCTCACGAGTTATTAGAAGCCGTACGGGATACATAGGAGATCATACTCTGCTCTAAGTGTTACTTTTTCAAAACTTTGCATCGGAGAGTTGAAGGGGCGCTATGAAATATATCTCTTTAAGTGCTTTAAGACTCCTCTCCCCGTGGCCTGCCCCATGCGCCCTGGCCGCGGGCCGAGAGAAAGCCAACATACCTTCAGGCATACCCGGATACTCCTATACTCTATGGCAATTACAAGACCAACAAATATAGAATTCCACTTCTAGATATAATTGGAGTCGATGCTTGCTAGCGGTCTTTCTGCATTGAATTTACATTCCTCAGCGGTGAAACTGAACAGGATACAATGTTACCCTGTCATTCATAGCCCCTACCTCCTTGCCTTCTTCTCAAATATCTCGAGGATACTATTGTTTGAGCAAGCCGCTGCTACATCAATCGCCGTCTGTTGCGCATTGTTCTCCATCATCGGATCCAATCCAGCGGCCATTAGTTCCTGAAACCGAACCACGTCCCCGGTGGCTGCGACATGTAGCAGCCCTCTACCCTCATTGTCTTTGGCCGAGAAATCGGCGCCTAGTTCCTGCAGCAGAGCTATGGCACCCTGCTCTCGCGGCACCTCGTATGCGTCGCCCCGAACTCTTTGCTTAAAATAGTCCCGATTGTATCTATTGTCGGGGTCTTGCGGGTATCGCTTAGCGAATTTGAAAAGCGGAGTCTCGCCTTTAGAATTGCGCTCGTTGATATCGGCTCCGCGACGGACCAAATCTCGAAATAGTTGACGGAGTCTCGGTGTGCCGAGATCTTCTGCCAGCTTGTGCAGCACTCCGTCGCCGTTCTTGTTTGTCACAAGGGGTGACGCACCTGTTGATAGAAGCCGCTGCACAGCCTCTGTGTCGGCCTCAAACTCAACGGCACGACGAATAGCATATATCAGCGGTGTATCGCCAAGGCTGTCATCGGCATCATGTACTAGCATCGGCGCTAGGCGAATCATGTCGTCCAACGTCGCTCTCAACCCAGGTGTGGTGATCGAGTAGCTCCAAAGTAGGGATGTAAGGACGGTTCGACCAAGATTGTCTCGTGCGGTAAGATCAGCGCCGAGGGCCACCAGGTGGTGGAAGATAGTTTCTTTTCCTCCATCGGTAAATGGCTTATCGATCATCCCCCCGCTCCTACAGGCAGCATGCAGGAGTGTGAGTCCTTTTGGATCTCTATGGTTGACGTCGATTCCGGGCACTAGGAACGGTTGAATTTGGAATTCTCTGATTACCAGAATCAAGTGGTGTATTAAAGTCACTTCCAAATCGTCAGCATTTGCCTCGGGGCGCGTTTCGCCTTTCTTGAAGTGAATGTATTCAGGCTTTGCACATGAGACGTCATCTTTTTCTCGGATGAGGTAGTTTGAGAGGGGGTTCGCTCCGTGATCGATGAGGATCCTAATCATCTCAATAACAATCGCATTGTCAACCGACGGGCTCCAGAAGCCGTCCTCTGGATCCGGCTTTCTGAATAGCATGCCTGCTGCGTGTAGCGCTGGATCCAAGTTCAAGTCGGGATCCTGTCCATCCTCATTTTTCGCGTGCAAAAGCTTGCGTAATATATCAACTCGACCGGCTTCGACCGCTGACACGACATCACCAGGTGATATTATGGCTCCGTGCTTAATTAGCAGCCGTACCATCTTGACATCGTACGTGGCCAAGGTGAGGCAGCTTTTGCCACTCCTTGTCTTGAGGTGGACATCTGCTCCAGCCCTGAGCAGACGTTTCATTGAGTCATAAGCATGGGGACGAGGCTTAAGATTGTAGAAAGACTCTTTGCCTCCGATTGCCACGTGGAGAGGCGTCAGACCGCCCTTGATCCTGAGGTTCAAATCGATCCCGGGTACCTTGAGGAGATATTTCAAGGCTTGGTGGACATGCCACCAGTGCAGACCTTCGGCAACGTAGTGAAGCGTAGAGTCGCCGTATGCGAGTTGCGTGCGTTCATCGGTATAATCCGAATCCCAGGTCCTCTCATTCACGTCGACATGAAAGTCCTCCACCAGCAATCTGACAACATCGAGGTTGGGAAGGTCACACTCGACTGCTTCCAAAATAAAAGGCTTCGGGATGTTTTGTTCATCTGATCGGTTGAAGCCATGCAGATCTCTTCCCTCCGCTTTCTTCTCGTTTGCCGGTCGATTGGCGCACCAGAGCCCCGCTTTGGAACTATCTCCAAAAGCATGCCAATCACCTTGACCGAGTGCACGTTCCGCCTCAATCATCCCAATCCTCTTGACTAGCCGGGTAAAACCAAATCGAACGAGAATCGCAAAGTGACTAAAATGGTATTCAGCTTGAGGATTTGGGAGAAATCTCATTCCGCGCTTGGCAAGCTCTTTGACGAGGTGATACCGCCTTTGTCTACTCTATGTTAGCTCATGAACAAGAAAGAGACGAATATAAAACGTTTCTCTTACCGCATGAAGAGGTTGAATTCAATGCGGCTTAGCCTTCCGGCCAAAGCTGGTATAGAGTATCTGGACGAGACCGAAGAATCGTACGCCGGGGCGCTCGTCGCAAGGAGGGCCGTATAAACGGCTGACATGCTTGGTTCGGTCCAGAGAGAAAGGGGAACTCGGTCGAAAAGACAGCTAGCGGTATACGCCTTGCCGTGCCATATACACCTACGGATAAGTCCAACATCATGGGACTGTTCCTTCGATCTGAGCTGGGAGGCGTCAACTCTATAGTCAACTAACGATGCCACAATCTCTTCTAGTCGGCTAGTCTCAATGGCAGAGAACTCAGGCTTGGCGGACGTGAATGGGGAGGCGTCCTCATATGGGTCTGAAGCATCTCCCTTAGTCTCCCTCTGAGTTAGCGGATCATGATTGACGTGGCATGTCGCAGCGCGAAAGACGTTATTATCTTCGAATTCACTGCAGGCTTGGAACAAATCGCCGCCTGTATTGGCATTTGCCCCTGCTTCGAGAAGAATCTTGACAGTCTCAGGCCTCCCGCTTCGGACAGCGTAATAGAGCGAACTAAGTCCCTCTTCATCTCTTGCGTTGATGCCATTGGTCCCGACTCTATCATCGGCGTCATTCTGGACAGAGGTGTCTGTATCTGTGCGTGACTTCGGGTGTGATGATTTCTGCAGCGAACGCACAAGCATGCCGACGATGTTGCTCTGCTGCGCGCGAGCGGCCAGATGCAATGGTGTAAGACCTTCGTAAGTAGTGGCAAGAGGACTGAGGGCGGCGTCCAAGAGTTTCTTGGTACAATACTCCGATCGAGTCGAGGCGATGTGTAATGCTGTTTGGCCGGTGTGGTCTGGAATATCTACGTTCTTCATTCGCATGATAAGAAAGTCGATAGGCTCAGGTTTGTCATCGCGACGTTTACCGGGCCGAGAGTATGCATCAGAGAGAATGTGGAGGGGGGTGCGGCCCAGATGCTAAACATTCGCCATCCATTTAGTCAGGTTCTGTTCTGAAGAGCAATCACATTTGGGGAAAGAAAGAAAAACTCACATTCTGCTGGTCGACATCTAGACCCAAGGTGCAGACAAGTCGCTCCCATAGCGGAAGCACCCATTCCCGAACATACGGATACCTTGATGCCTCTCTGGCTGCGAGCTCATGAAGCAGTGAGTTTCCGTCGTAATCGACTATAGTATGGTAAAGGCCGATACCTAGCAGAAACTCGAACCACGGACTGTCTGTATCGTCCCTGGAGCTAGATCTTGAGCTGAAGCTGGATGGTCGCTTCTTAATAGTCTCATGCAGCAAAGTTCTTCCCCTGAAGTCTCGCGAACGGGGGTTAGCTCCGTGATCAAGAAGAAACTGAACAACATCATGCGAGTCTTGACCGTCATCTTTCGCCTTTGGCATGAGTGCAATCTGGTGCCATAGGGCAGTGCGTCCTGCACGGTCCCGCGCATTGATATCTGCACCCGCTGCCAGCAGTAAGTCCCAGATCTTGTCAGCATCTGGAGATCCAAATGAAATCATCAAGGCTGTTTCATTTTGGCGATTACGTCTATCCGGGTCGACACCGTTTTCAAGGAGCGCCTTGACGATGTTCTACTTTTCTGATTAGCCGTTTCTGGAGTGGTATTGCAGCATGAGCACGGCGAGCGGGCTTACCGGTGTCGCGTAATGGGATTTGAGGGCTACGTGAAGGGTGCTCTCGCCGGCCGAGGTAAGAACCCCAGCATCCGCACCGTACTCCAAGAGCAGCAGGATTTGGGAATCGTGATTGTGCTCACTAAGAGTCGCGAGAAGGGGTGTGTTCCCATACACGTCCTGTGCATCGACGTCGGCGCCGCCTTCTTCCACCAAGAGAGGAACGCAAGCCGGAACCCGGCAGCGATGAAGCGGCGTCCGACCTTTAGAGTCCACAACCTGAACTGAGGCTCCGGATTCCAAAAGAAGTCGGGCTAGATAATAGGACTTCTCGACGGCGCAATGCAGGGCAGTTGATCCATCCTCTGCCTGATGATGAATATCAACGCCATGCTTGATGAGAAGTCTGGCCATCTCGCAACTGTCATCATCGTCCCAGTCATGATGGGAATCCGATCCACCTGGTAGGCCACAGACCGCATGGAGATATGTGAATTGGGAATTCGAGGCTTCTGGCTGCTTCGGCTCTGAAGCTTCCCCCCACTCGTTCAACAGCTTTGGGTTGGCTCCAGCTTCAAGCAAAGCCTTTACAGTAGCCAGGTCTCTGTTCCAGCAAGCCCTGAACAGAGCAGTGCTACCATGATCCATATAGTCGATCTCTATGCCAGGCTGTGACAGCATGCATGTGACTACTCGGGGTTGCCCCGCGAGTGCAGCCCAAGTCAGGCTGCCCTGCATCGCTGTCAGGTCAATATGTGGCAAGAATGCGTTGACTGCCTCGACATGCCCGTGTTCACATGCGTATTCGAGGGCCGGTTTTTGGATGTTCCAGTTGCAATGCTTCTTGGCCTTCTCTTCGTCGCTAGGACTTGGTGGTGCCAGAGGGTCGACACCAGCCTCTAGTAGAACCTTGACAACCGTGTGATGATTCTTACTAGCAGCTTCATGCAGTGGCTTTCTCCCAATGGAGTTATCGAGAGGATTTGGATCAGCGCCTGCAGCAATCAGTTCGCCGACTGTAGCAGCATGGCCCTCGGAAGCAGCCCACCATCTAACAGACGGGTTAGCATGATTCTCCGCTAGTCTATCCCATGGTAGTAAAGCAGTGGCTTACAGTGGTGTTTTCCCCGTAATATCACAGGCGTTCACATTCCCAGGCCAGCCTACAACAAGCTTCCTTACATATGCTATGAGTCCGAATCTGCTTACGAGGTGTAGAGCCGAAAACTTTCGTGCATTCGATGCATAGCCAGGCCATACCACTTCGAGCCATGCCTTGATAGTCTTATCGACGCTGAGAAACTGCTCGAGGACCTGGTTGATCTCATCTTGCGCATAAGAGTCTGCCTCGGAACTTCGAATGTGAAAGTGCCAGTTGCGAGTAGCATAGAAAAAGAAAGGAAACCTGATACGTAGCTCGCGTATGTCATGTGAAACCGAGTCGGAGTTGCCCCACCATTGCGAGTTGTCATCGTAGCCCGGACTCTCGTCAGTGTCATCAATTGTGATCTCGACTTCATCAAGACAGCAAGTCACCAGCAAATACCGCAGGCATGATAAAGCGAGCTGAGCGTGAGACGGTCCGGGACGCAGCACTGGATAGCCGCTCTTATCATCGCCTCGCGTAGTCCTTTTAAGGTACTCGGTGAAGGAATGGTGAACAACTGACACTGTCTCGTCCGGTAAGATCTCTAGAAGGGGCCCACACGCAGTCCTGATAAGGTCCTTCATAGCCGTCAGATCTCGGCCCGAACCAACAGAGTTAATTACCCTGCACATCTCGGCGAGTTCGAGTAGTCGTAGCGGCCTTGTCGCATGCGTGACAGACTGGAGGATAAGGCGCTGAACACTCGAGGATATACCAGAGCGCCTGGCATGTTCCTGCAATAGATCGGTATAAAGAACATTAAGATCTAAAGGAAGGTGTGCCAACACGGTCTCGATGTGGGCACCTGGCTCGAGGAAGGCCTCCATAGCTAGCCTTGCGTATAGGAAGAGACCGTTCGCTCGACCGGGGATGGCGTTTGCGATTTCACTCCACTCGCTTTTAGGGATATGAGACTCTGACAACGCGGAATTCACATAAGTCGAGATATCAAGATCAACTAGTCGCTCCTCAAGGCGGATATGGAAGGCTGGTATCTGGCGGAGATGGACCTCGACCTTTGGAACAGGTCGACTCGAGATCAAGACCTTCACCTTGTGCGGCCTCCACTGGCTAAGCGACCCGATTGCCTGAAGGAATGCCTCATTCCCAGTGTCCATCTCATCGAGCGCATCAGCAATGCAGAAGACCTTGTCAGGCAGAGCTCGGAATGCCATCTGCAGATCTTTGAGCAGGTCTTCAATGGACAATGAGCTCAGTGGTACTTCATCATCGATATACGTCAAAAGCTGGTGTTGCAGTGGTGGACTGTATCGAAGAACTTGGTCCATCCAATCCCGGAGAAGAGCCTGCGGTTTATGGTTGGCAGAGATAATCTGTCGAAAAAAAAAAGAACAGCACTGGACAGCCAGGATTTTCTCTAGCGAGGCCATCAATCAATCTGGCGACGTGAACTGATTTGCCGGATCCAGGGATGCCTTTAATCCAAAGCAGGCCATACTCATCGTCTCCTCGAAGCCATCGCTGATACTGGTCGGTAGAGGCAAGCCATTGTCCGGTCCCCGGTGCGTGGGACGCAAGATGCTTGCGGAACTCGCCGCCAGCAATAGTATAAGACGTTGGCTCAAGCCATTCTCGAATTTTTTTGATCTCTTCTATCGACTTGGGGAGAATGTTGTCGGGATTGTAGTTGCTCACGTCGTCTCGATCGAGGATGATGGCATCAGGCTCGCTGTAACTCTCGTCGTCTGGCATTGTAAGGGAACCGTAGAATTGAGATTATGAGGAACCCAAGGCTTTGTTTCTTGTTTGTCAGTGGAGATGGGAAGTACCGGAATATCAAGGTATAATAGTCGGTGTGCTATGCAGGAGGAAAAGAGAAGGGTGTGCAAACTACAGAGAGTGAGGGATTTAGGCAGTTATAGAATATAAGAAAATACTGAGATTCTGAAATTACCCCTGTATAGTAGATTTCCCTTTTATATAAATATTATAAGTATACTATATTGTTAGATTACACCGTCAGGCCAAAAACGTAGTGCACTACTATAATTGGTAACTGCTTATGCATCCAAGTTTATATACTGCAATCTGACATATATTATAATATACTTAAAAAAGCTTAAATTAGTATATTTTAAGTTTTAATATTATTATTAGTTTTCTTTTTAAAAATTTAATATTCTTTTACTATTTTAATATATAAAATATTTATTTGGTTTTTTTTTGTAGTCTTACTCAATATCATTAGATAGATCAAAGCCATATAGTAATCTCAAATAGTAGGAATAAACAATAAGGGCTACACCCAGCACCAGAAGAAACAGTAGCTGAACAATAAGGTTGTTGCCCACCGGTCTCTGCCTGAAGCTTCCATTCAACCCCTCTGACTTCAACCCTATTGTC